GGTGGAAAAAGTTCGTGTATCTTACACCAACTGGTGGGCAACAAGCACGGAGCTCCTTAACATGTAAACATATGGGCCTACGCCCACAGCTAATAACTGTAAAGATAGCTAATGACTGGTTTTAAAATATGATAACGTTCCAGTGACTGAGAATATCGGAAATGAATAAAAACTCCCCTGACGAAATTAAGAGCAGGTTAAATTTTTACTACCCAGTTAAAAATCGTATATGTTCCTCCATCTTACCTGTAAGCGTAAAGATTGAAATTGGCTATGAATAACTATAATGTTATCTGTTCTTTCATATGAACGTGGATTTTCGACAAATAACGTGTGGCTTCAGTGCCTCATTGCCCTGATGATGGACGTAGCAAGTATAACTGAAACGTCGGTAAACTTATACCAGATTACACCGCGCTACAACCCAGAAAACAGCCATTTCGTGCTCGCCGCCGTGAGAACCTAAAATCCTACAGGCGATGAATATTCGTTTGTATAAAAATACGAGAATTTTATGAGATTTTCAAGGGAAAAACCTTTCTTCACTCAGCTGTCAGATGCTTAACGTAATGAAACGTGATACGGTGGTGTTAATACAGATCCAAATTATAAGTCATAATCACGAAAAGTCTGAAGTAAGTGTTCGCGTGTTAACGTTGATATTTTAAGTTTTTCGCAGTAACAAAGTTCACCTGCACTGACACTTCCAAGAACAAGTGACGAATGTTAACCCATTGACTGCCGATCGCTAACTTTCTCCTGTTATTTAATTTCATTAATAATAATTAATGATTGAATTAGCTGTGTTTCTAGATGTCAGTAAATTAGAAAATAAATTGAGCCTACTGGTAAAGATTCATTGTTAATGTGACAACTGCCTTCAATGCAGAGTTTTGAGTAGAAATCGTATAATTTTTAACTGTGGTCGCTTGTTCTGTGTTTATAACTTACAGTGAAGTATGCTTATACAGACCTTGAGCGATTTTAGATTAAACAATGTTAGCTAGGCTTATAATAATTTAAGTAAATAAATAAATAACATACACGCAAGCAGACAAATAAGCAACTAAGTTATCCGGAGATTTAGGCTGTGGATCAGGCTATTAAAATGGAAACGTGCCTGTTACTCGTTCTACTGTTTTTTCCGTCCTGTTAGCCTCTACATATGCGTCCTTCGTGTTACGGTAGACAGAAACTTGTGACCTACGCCTCGTGAACAACAATTTTTTATTGACAGACAGTTGGTCTATCTGGTGTATTGATCTTAGCGTATTAAATTATATTTACTTTAGTGATAAGATATGACAGTGAATATTTCAATCACAGTGACATACTTTGTAGCCTAATCACTTTACGTGATTTGATTCATTATTGTGCTACCTGTTAGAGCGGTAACAAAGAATGTAGAACGCAATTGTTGAACATTTCAAAGTTGAAATATATGAGTCGCTTAACTTAGAACAGAAGAATGATCTGTCTTGTACTGTTAGTGTTTCTGAATTTGCTGTCTCGACATGTTTTATCAAGTAAGTACGCAATAGGTTACGTAGTTTTGTGATAAACAAGATCAATTGCTATTTAGGTTTGTATGGAAATAGATTAATCAGCACTATAAGTTACCGGCATATTTTTGTATTGAAGTCTTCAAAGGCAATCAGTCACGTGTAAAATATAAAATTATACGCTGGTTTTATGGCATATAGGATTATGAAATACGTTTATTTATGCTTTGCGCTACGTGTTGTAAAGAACCGAGATAAATTATTAGTTGCCGACATTATCGTATTATTAAAATATATGTGTCTTATTGTTTTGTTGTTCTTATTGTAACATCACTGCCACCGGGTATAAACCCATTTGCAGTTAATAATAAATAATAATAATACTATATGAGAGCCTAGCCTGACCTGATATAAATACACACCAAATTATTGTTGCATTGCACAACTATTCTGAGCAGAACATATAATTTGTCGAGTTAAGGTGGGTTGAAAATAAATATTATATTTTATGATAAAGATAGATAATTTCTGGGTTGTAGCTCTTTGTAGTCTTGCGCTACAAATCAGAAGACAGGGATCTTCGTACTTACCCCCGTGAGAACCTCAAATCGTAAATATTTAGGCCTCAGAAGTCATTAATTTCACTTACTAATGCGTTCGTATTGGGTTTCGGTGCAGAAAGTGTCTGCCGCCAGGAGCAGCTTGGTTCAATGGTGTTAATAAAATGCCCGCCGGAAGATCAGCAACTTCTGAGCTATTGTTGTAATGACAATGGTAAAATTGTATGCTGTTCAGAAGAAGATTTTATCCACCGAGAAGATGGACAAAGGTATAGAGCTCGCTCTTCTCCATCATTATCGTTATCGAAATGTGCTTTAATCTAATAGTTTAAATCTCATCTGATGAGTGACTAGACTATAATTGCACTGCTCTGCGCGGAAATGTGGAGGCAAAGCTCAACGAATATAGACATCAGTTTTATGTGGTCGTGGCTCCAGTTACTTCATTTCTGGTGAAAGAAGTCTAAGTAGGCAGGCAGCCGGATCCCTGAGTCTGTCAGGAGATGGTGACGGGAGAAATTACGACCCCTGCTGGGAGTCGAACACCGACACTTTATTGGTTTAACTATCTAGGTTTTATAGGCAATACAGTGGATATTCAAATTAAATTGGGTTAAAATTCCTTGTATATTGGTAAAATTGTGTTCAGATTATCAGCCTCACTCGCATACGTGCCAAGGCGCCGATAGAAATAATAGCAAATTTTGTACGAGACTTTCACATACAATCGACTTCATTTCAGTGAGAACAGAATTAACGCCTAATGGGACGAGTTAAATGCGGTGGACAATATTTGAAAGTAAATCCTAGTCTACGGACACTTTGATTTGGCTAAAAACTCTGTGGTTTTATATGTTATTTTACCAGTATGTAAACTCATGATCTGCCTTCCGTAAACACTTTACAAACAAATTACTCTTCTGCGAAGTCCACCATGTTATAGTTGCGTCGTTAAACCTGTGGTCGTATTATTTTGTTTCAGTGTCGAGGCAGTCACATTGCTTGCAGTTTCTGGATTTATTACGATACTTATAGTCACTATCCTTTGCTATGTTCGCTGGCACAGCAGGTTCCTAAAATCCGACTCTTCCGAATTCTCTCATACTGCTAAGAATTTGGAGACTGTCACTGCACAGCAAAATGAGCATCAAGGAACTCTGCCACCCCAGGCTACTTTTAAGAGGTACGCGTGCTTATCAGAGTCTGAGAACCTTGGACTGTCATTGGCCCCTAATACGAATTTTCGTATGTCTGTAAGGAAAACCATTTTAAAGCTCGTTTCATGAGAGTGCTGTTAGCTGTATGAATATGTATGCTCGTCTTTATATGTGCGTCAGCCTGATTCCCCACGAACGGATTTTGGTTAAATTTGGGATTTGCAATTCTTATTCAAAGTCGACCCTACATGTAAAAAAGAGGACTGCCACTTATTCATTCTGTGACATGAACATTTACAGACAGTGGAAAGAACATTGAAATTCTGTACGCATTGGGCCTATATATAGGCTAACAAATTTTCTCTCGAATTAAACAATAAACATTTTCATGTTTTGCACTTTGATTAGTTCTATACGGCTGCTTTTAACATTTCCCACAGTTATTTAAGCGATTTATATTTGAGGATTATTGGCTTGTAACTGCATTTTCTAACTGAACAGAGCGTTGTGAATGATAAATGCAAAAACATGAGGAGGTAAGCGGTCTTGGCCTATTTTAAAGTAAAACCCACTCTTTCACAATCTTTATTCAGGAAGGAACCGGTGAAAACGACGAAAGCACTCAATCAGGAGAACCGGTACTCTGGCCGGGATTCGAACCCGGGACGTCCCGAATACGAAGCAGGAATACTGACCACTCGTGACATAATTTTCGGTCAGACGATAGATAACGGTTTATAATTTTGGGAATAAGGGAATTATTCTTGAAGCCATAGTTTATTTTGCTCGCTGTCTGTCACAGTCCTGTCTTTGTCCTAATAGGCTTGTAGTCAGAAAAGTTCATAGGCCACATTCGTAGAAAACCCAACATAACTTTACTTTTTTAAGGAAGTCTTAACTTACTATAACACCCTATCATTCACTGAATCTCAGTTCATGTGATAGCTCCCAGACGATAGTAGCTTACAGTAGTTTTAAAGTTGATGTTGCTACGTAGTCTAACTCTAGTAGAGTTACTACACACTGTCATTGCACCTAGAGGGTGCATGTGACATTATCAATCGGAGACTGCGCTAATGGGGAAAGATAACACTCTTTTGGACTGTTGGAGTTGAAGATGCTGTGATGGTTACAATAGAAGTGATAGCTCACTTTAGGCTTAATTATGTGCACGTATACGGTCACTTGGAACGTTTTCTGGCGGGCCTTTGTAGCACATTAATCAGCTTACGCTATTAAAATGCAATTGTCTCGGATTTAAAGTTTATTAAAATAGTCGAAGACAACCTAAAGACCACTTCAGTAAGAACTTCAACGTTCTTAACAGTTGTATGAAAGACTGATTGTCTTGGTTTAATCTAAATAAATTTGTTGTGTGGGAAACAAATATAGTAACTGTTTAGTATTAATGTCTGAAGAATGAAAAAGTTTCTTATTTGTGTTTTTATAAATCCATAACTGCTTTTTTACATTTTCTAGGACAATACCTTCCTGCCGCTACGCTGAAGTTCTGAAATCAATTTTAAACGAAGATAAGGAAGAGATATTCTTTCCAAAAAAGAATGATCGAAAGTAGTTAACGAGTTTTTTAAATAAAGAAATTAGCATTTCAATACTATGTAACACTAATTTTATGTAGCTCAATTACAGGAAGGTAAGGGAATTCATGGTATAATAATAAAGAGCAATACATTTATTTTTAATGTGAGAAATGTATTCCTGCAGAACGTATTTGAAAGACGTTGCATAAAAGATTAATTGCCTCGAGACTTGTAATAACATTGATATTTTAAGAATGTTTATATTTTCTGTGACGCATCTTAATTTCGATAAGACGAAGACTAAAAACAAATTGTTCAGCTTAATTCTACATTTTCATCTTCGTGAGAACCTCAGATCTTGAAAAACTTATTCAAACATTCATTTTTCTTTAGCTTGTTTCAAGATGACCACGCAGCGAATTGTCTACATGGTCTGTTCCCTCCCACTGCCAAGGGGGCTTCCATTTAATTTGGAAAATACTGAACTTCAGGTAACGCGATAGGCAGGCGACGGGGACGGATTAAATCGCAATTAGATAGGTCGCTTGGACTCGATAATGAGTAGAGTTGAAGAAAGGGACAATTGAATAAAAATTTACTTGGATATTATCCATCGTCTAGTAA